CCCCGCTCACTCCGTGCACCCTCTTTGAAATGAACTATGTTTATTAGAAGCAGATTACTTATGTGTGTGTGTGTGTGTGTGTGTGTGTGTGTGTGTGTGTGTGTGTGTGTGATTGGGAGCAGCACAGGGCGAGAGGAGCTGGGGTTGGGGGGTGGGGGCTCTGGTATGCACATGTGGGTGCCAGCTTTTGGTGTCTGACATGTTGGGGGGTCTCGATTCTTTGGAAATGTTCATCTCTCTGTCTCTCTCTCTTTCCTGCTCTCTCTCTCTCTGTATCATACACACACACACACACACACACACACACACACACACACACACACACACACACACACGCACACACACACACGCACGCACGCACGCACGCACACACACATTGGAGCATTTGAGGGGATGTGGCTACAACCTGGAGACAGCAAGACTGCGTGGCGAGCACCGAAAAGTTCCACAAAGCATCATGGGACCTTTCTCTGACCAGTCCGCCCAGTAACAAAATGTGTTGGCTCAAAAGCACTCAAAAGCCGCTGAACTTGACTCAAAAAAAAAAAAAAAAAGCCACTGAGTGGAGCTGAAATGAACTTTTGGAGCACCAAGTGGAAAAAAAGTACGGCTGCTGGAAGAAATTAATGTAACAGAAATGTTCCTCCTGGCTCAAGTTTGGGTGAAAACTACCACACGTTTATTTCATTTCCCTCACGGGATGGATAAAGTATCTACAGTACCTACGTACCTACCGACAGTCTAATCAACTTCAAGTGATGCATACATGAGTGATGAGTGAGGCAGTAATTAGGAAAATATTAATTGTAAAAATATTGTATTGTTTTGCAATAATTTCCAATAACATCTTAGAACTTCTTGAAAATATCGTGAAAATTATCATGAAAATGACAAAGATGTTATGGATGCATTATACAGATTTTCAAGACACCACGTGTGGCATAGAGCAGTGGTCCCCAAACCTCGGGCCGCGGACGGTCATTTGGCACCGGACCGCAGAAAAAGAATAAATAACTTACATTACAACAACTTACTTTTCATTTCGGAATCTGACAGATGTTTTATTTTGAAAATTTACCGGATTCTCTGTTACATCCGTCTACATTATGTCACTCTTGACGCAGGTTAAGGATGCTTCTCGATCACGTGATAGGCTACCGCTAAATTGAAACCCTGGAGCTAGCAAAATGCGTAAAACAAAAAAACAAACGTCTTTGGAAAGATTCTTTGGGAATGGACAAAGGCCCAGCCAGGAGACAAAAGAGCAGCCTACGATTTTCAAGAAAAAGAAGGCTACATTTTATCGACAGTATCAGGAGTCCTACTTAAAATACGGATTTAGCTTTAGGGGAGACTGCCACATCCCACAGACCAAGCTTTCTCTGCATAATATGCGGCGATGGTGAGTCGTATTTTTCATGCACTTTTTTATTTGCGACGTATCTTATTTTGAAGACACGTTTAAACATTACCATAGCGACCAGAAAGCGTTTTGTGGCCAGACAGGACGTTCCTCGTGTCATGATTCGTGTTTATCATTGTGTTTAGAAAATATCACAATTTCCATGCAGGTTATATCATATTATTTTGTTGTATTTATCCGCCACACCTTAAAGGCCGGTCCCTGAAAATATTGTCTGACATTAAACCGGTCCGTGGAGGAAAAAAGGTTGGGGACCGCTGCCATAGAGGATGATAATGAGGAGAGGTAGTGACTATCTTGATCTCCGTTTTTAATAACATAAAATTAAATAAAATAAGGTTTGGACATTGACATATATCTTTGCCAATATTCCTTTCAAAATATAATGGCCTCTAAGCATGTGAGAGAATGAAACACATCACCTCGTCATCCTTGTACCAGGACAGCGACTCGGCGGTGAGGACAAACCAGTACTCCTTGGCTCCGCCCTTCATGATACCAATGTTGTTGATCGTCAACCATCCCTTTCGGATCACCTGGGCAACGGACGGACAGGAGATGCAACAGTATTATTGGTGACGCGCAAGAGGTGATGTCACACTAACACTCACTAGCCGCAACATTAGATACACCAGCTGGACCTGTATCAAAAATTCGGCCATGATCAAAATAATAATGCCCAGAAATTGATCTCTCGACATCACAAAACTGAGAAATATTACATTTTTAAATCCGGCCTTTTTTTAATGGATCTCATGTATACCAAATACATTGGCCCACAAGGGTATCTAAACAGTACACTCACTACATCTGTGGGACAACAAATAGTATCGGGCTCTATACACACAGTACGTGATGTGCGATTTGATTTACCTTGAACCGATCGTTAACTCCTCTCTCCGGCTGGATGAAAATGCGGAGAGAACGTTACAACTCAAAGCCAACGAGGGCTCCTCGTGAAAGAGGCCAAGTCACATTTATTGGTGTGCATTGCCGGTCAAAAGTCTGCATGTCATATAGCGGGCGGCTGGGACAGCAAGCATTAGCGGGGGACACTTGTCCAAATGCCCTTTTCAGACCATGCAGTCAGATGCAGGAGTATGTTTCATTCTTTTTTTGTGTAAAAATGATGAACATATAACCCCGCCCCCCAAAAAATCAACACCAGCCAAATAGTACAAGCAAATATATTTGTTTTTATGTTTTGCCATCAACTTGTATGCTCAAATGTCAAATCTCAAACGGTTGCCTGGAGGGCTAATAATGGTTTCACGATGGCGCCAGCATGACGCCGAAACGCAGGATTTCGTTTGCCAATATTTCCTGTGGGGGGGAAAAAAATAGTTTTGAAAGCCATACAAATCGAAGGTCCTGAAATGCTCTGGAACGGCCTTAAAGGTTCCACTGTGGCTTTTGAAAATTGCACATTTCGGGCTGCTGAACACTTAGAAATGTTTACTTAAACAAGGCCACTTTTCATGAGGCCAAAAGACAAACGATTTCCCACGTAGTAAACACTCATAATGGGGCTGGAAGGGGGGCGGGGGGCTCTATTAGGAAGTCAAGCTAAGACGGAGAACAGAAGCAGGCGGGCGTCTTGAAGGGCCAACTGCATCCACGTGTAAACAGGAAGCACAGATCGCCACTTTGCTTACCGCACCTCTGACCTTTGCCCCTCCCGCGGCCCAACCTGGGTGGTTGCTATGACGACCGGCAAACACCGATGGGACATGCGAGCCACTGTTCAGGATGAGGGTGTTGAAGGGAGGTGAGGAGAGATGGCTTTTCTTCGCGTACCGTATGAGCCGTTTTTTGCGTAATGACCGTCCCGTGCATAGAAATGCATGAGTTTGGAAAATAACATTGAAATAAGAAGGGAAGAGGAAGCAGCCGAGGGTTTTCCACCACAAGTCACCAGCCGCTATTGGTATGGGAAGCGTATTTTGCACACACAACATTTACAAAGACCAAGAGCATCTTCAATTTAATTGAAATTCACTCGGCCGTGCAGAGAGTGGCTACTCACCATGATCTCATCCTGGAGCAAGCAGCGCACAAGCCACCGAGAGAAGAAGAGAGGAAGCACATAAGGGGAAACCGCATGAAAGAAAAGACCAAACCAATTGGAGAGCTCCGAAGAGGAGAAGAAACAAAAAACTTTCGAAAAATTGCACAGGGGGGGGTGACATCATCAAAAAAAAAGGCTTTGAGAAATCAAAAGTGGGATGCAAGTCATGCAAAAGCAGAATCAGGAACGTTTCGTCATGACGTGTGCTCGCCCTATTTGCAGGTTGCACTTTCATGCATGAGTGTGTGAGTTTGGGATTCAGATGTTAACAAAGAAAAATAATAATAATAAATAAATAAATACACGGCAGTATTTACATTTTTGTGATCGGTGCACATGTACTGAGGGAAATCTTGTTGGTGGAAATTTTACGACAAGACTCTGAATTGAACTGTGACCGTTTTCCTGTCGCCTGACTAAATGTTAGAATAATTAAGTTTTTACAAGAGAACGAAAACGGCGTCACGGGTGACGAGAGCGACCCATTAAAAAAAAAAAAAAAAAAAAAAATAAATAAATAAATACACGGCAGTATTTACATTTTTGTGATCGGTGCACATGTACTGAGGGAAATCTTGTTGGTGGAAATTTTACGACAAGACTCTGAATTGAACTGTGACCGTTTTCCTGTCGCCTGACTAAATGTTAGAATAATTAAGTTTTTACAAGAGAACGAAAACGGCGTCACGGGTGACGAGAGCGACCCATTAAATGTCGATCAGCAGGAGCACCTGACGAACATTGTTGTTACTTTTGGGAGTAGCAACGGTAACGTTTCACGTTTGATGTAAGGCTGTGCTTAGAATGTATACATAAATGAAAGAAAAAAAAATCATGAAATGTGATTATTTAACATTTACAAAAATAATAAAACATTTTGGAGCAAGTAATCTAAGAATATTTTTATTTTATATACAGTATATTATTCTATCAATTATTTTGTGACAAAATGGCCCTAACAAGATCATATTGTCGTAAAAAAAAACACTTGGGAAAGTGATAATATCACTAAACGTGATTCATGTCGCACTGTCCATATTTTTTTGAACAACTCATTTTGTGGTCCAGCGAAATGAAGAAGAAATGTCTCGAATGTTAATAATGACAACATAATAACGTTACCTGGCCTTTGGTGCGGCTCTCTCGGTCTCTGATGTGCTGAGTGACGATTCTCTCCATCTCTTCTCGCAGCATCGGGTACTGGGCCAGCTACAAGCACACAGCACAGTGGGTCGGACGCATGTGCCAGTGGCGCGCGCGCGCGCACACCCACACCCACAA